TGCTGGACAGATGACAGTCTGGCCACACTGGCCTAGAACTTACCCAGAGGTGGACAATTCTGGATCACGACAGTCTCTCGGATACAATTAGTCACTTGCAGCTCTCCAATGGCTTTTACCTAAATTAACATATTTGATTCTCACAACTGTCCTAAGACAGGGATGGCCAGCTGCATCCGTAAGGGAACTTTTGAGGTACAAGGTACAAACAGAAAAGTTTGTACAACACAAATCATGCGTGTATGACTCAATGCGTTTTCAGAAAATGAACCCACCTATGTAACCAGCACCCAGATCAGGAAAGACACTGTATATAGCCAGCACCTGAGGAGCCCCTCATGCCATTTTCCACCCCCCAGCTTTCACAGGTAACCGCTATGCTGTTCCCCAACACAAGAGGTTTTTTTTCAACTGTATTGTAACGAGAGGAAACTTGGGTTTGAAGAAGTAAAGTGACTTAGAAAAGTCAGGGCTGGTGGGTGGTGAAGGCAGCAGGGCTGGGAGGCAGGGACAGTGCCCCTCGTTGGCTGCGTGTATTTTCATCACAGGGGTCTCAGGGTTCCGGTGGAGCGTGAAGGTGCCATAACTGGGCTGGAGATGGAGGGAAGTGGCAAGTAGATACAATTAGTCATTTGCAGAGGAGAGGTGAGAGGGTACGGGGCACAGATCAGCAGATACCTAGGAGCTGCTGAGGTGGAAAGCACGACTCGGCCAGGAGGGAATTGGAGGACTGACCAGTGTCTCCAATACTCAACACAAGTTTCCCAACACTCAAAACCCTACGGTTTTCCTTCTTGGGCCATGTCCCCACACTGCCTCCCTGCCTTTGGCTAACTTTAGGCGTGGGGACTAGAGATGTAGGTGTTGGGTGTAGGGTGGTTGGGGTGCTCAACCTGCAGGGACATGTAACTTTCACTCAACAAGCTAATGCCTCGCGGAAAACTCACGAAGGGAGCATGTGCTGCAGTTAGGGATAACCACGTCGGAAACAGCAGCCCTAAACTGGGTGTGGGCAATGTGCTTTTGGAGCTAAGCCTCTACTACTTGATCATAACTAAGTCCCTTTAACTCTTTGCGCCTCAGTCTCTTCATCACTACATAGGGTGTTACCTATGACACGCGGGTTTTGTGGGGATCAAATAAGATAATGGACATAAGAGACCTTTTGTCTACTGTAAAATGCTATTTAAACGAAAGGCTTCCCTGATACTGAGCCTGAACCAGACTCCCAGAAAAAGCAAGACGTTATTAGTCTGTTCTTCAACATTACCTGGTTCTTTCTACAGATCAGGTGTCAGGAGGGGACTTGTGGATTAAAGAACAGGTTATAGACGGTCTAAGAGCTAGAAGGTGGTGGCCATGCCTCAGTACCCAACCCTAAAGAGCCCAGTGAGTTTAGGCCTTCGTCAGCCCATCCCCTTTCCTCTTGGGAAACTGCTCCCCTCCAAGGTCAGAATGTTTCGACCCTTGTTCTATTCAGCAATGCACGGGCCCCTAACCCCACAGCCTGTGGTGGGTGGAGAGTGGAGAATGAGGAATGTGCGGGCGAGGGGAAGGCAGCCAGGTCACCGCTCGGTTTCTAATCTGCCTGATTTGAGTCTGTTCTGGTTAAACGAGGGCGGAGCCTTGCCTTTCTGCAGAGAAGTCCAATGAGAGTAAGAGACCAAAGAAAGCCCCAGGCAGATGTGGGACCCCAACTGTCAAAGTGAAGTGGAAACTCTGACAGGCACGTAGTGGGAACAGCAGTACTGGCACCCGAAACCTCTTCCGCACAGCACTGCTCTCCCCCAGGGGGCCCTGGAGAACCAACAGCCCGTTTTAGCTTCTGTGGGCTCCCAGCAAGGCATGCGGCTCCAGAACCTTATGACCTATTTGGGCTGCTGAGAGGCGCCACAGGCAGGTTCAAGGACCAGAGAGAGCACGAGAGCAAATTGCGAAGCAGCTCCCAGGCAGAGCCCGCTTGGCACACCGAGTCTGTGAAATCCGGTCACTGCAACTGGCCGCCCCTCCCCCACCACCACCAGCACTTGCGTCTTTCGCTTCCTGCGAGGCTGACAGTTAAGGCCCCAGGGCCCTGTGGAGCTGAGGCAGCCTGAATGTGGTTATTTGTGTGCAGCTCCTCTTGCCTCCCCTCCCCACAACTGTTTCCATTCTCACCAGGCAGCCACGTCCGGGTCAGACACGCAGGACAGCAACCGGGGATTTCCAAGGGACTTTTTGAGAAAGCCAGTGAAAGTTGGGTGTTGGCTGCACAGCCTAGGTACTCTTGCCGAAACCCACTTCTCCCCTCTGGGGCGTGAGCTCCAGGCTGACGGGGCTACTTCCCAAAGCTTTCACATGGATAGGACAACAGAAACCACCACTCCTGGAGCTCTTTTAACTTGCTGGGCTTGGAAAAATCCTGGAAAAATTCAGTTGGAATTAAGAGTTCACAGACCATTCCCTCAGCATTTGAAGGCATCAGAGAAAATGATTCTGCTTTAAGGACCTGTGAGGGGTGATACGAGCAGCTGGGCCAATTCCAGCTTCCTTTCCATGGGCCTTTGAGGACAAGGAACGGGGGTGGGAGGTGGGGATCCCTTGAGTCAGCATCTCTCCCTCCTTCCCACACTCTAGGCCACAGGTTACTAAGACACCAAGACACCGACTCACTAGCAACACCAGGTGGCTAAGAGACACAAAGCCCGATGCAGGCACCTCTGCTAGTGAGTCAGAGTGCACCCTGCAGTGGTGGTTCTGGGCATTTCCCCCACTATTTTTTTTTTTAAATATATTTTTATTGATTTCAGAGAGGAAGTCAGACACACACACACACACACACACACAGAGGAACATCAATGATGAGAATCATTGATTGGCTGCCTCCTGCATGCCTCCCTCTGGGGATTGACCCCGAAACCCAGGCATGTGCCCTTGACCAGAATCAAACCTGGGACCCTTCAGTCCATAGGCCAACTCTCTATCTACTGAGCAAAACCAGCTAGGGCTCCCCCACTATTTTGACTGACTACACATATTGATGCGTTTAAGAGAGAGGGATAGACAGAAACATCGATGAGAGAGAAACATCGATCAGCCGCCTCCTGCACACCCCCCACTGGGGATGTGCCTACAACCAAAGTACATGCCCTTGACCGGAATTGAACCCGGGAACTTTCAGTCCGCAGGCCGGTGCTCTATCCCCTGAGCCAAACTGGTTTCGGCACACATATTGTTTATATTGAAGAATTGCTAATAAAAAGAGAACTGATTAATATCTACACAAATAAAAGGGTAATATGCTAATTAGACTAGATCGACTGGACATCTTCCGGTCATCTGATCCTCCTTCTGGACAAAAGCCACAGTGGCAGGGGCTGAGGCAGAGGTGGTTAGGGCGATCAGGCCAGCAGGCAGGTGAGCAGTTAGGAGCCTGCGGTCCCACATTGTGAGAGTGAGTTCAGACTGCCAATTGAGGCCTGATCCCTAAACCGGCCTAAACTAGCAGTCAGACATCCCCTGAGGGGTCCCAGATTGGAGAGGGTGCAGGCTGGGCCTTTAGTACTATATAATAAAACTAATATGCAAATAGACCAAATGGCAGAACAACCAAACAACTGACCACTATGACATGCACTGAACACCAGGGGACACGCGTGGAACATGGAGGGTATTGGGGGCAGGCAGCAGTGTAGTTCATGGCGGGGGTCAGCCACAGCAGGATGGTGGAGAAGGTGAGCCAACCAAGGCAGGGTGCTGGTCGCTGTCAACGGGGCGAGTCTCTGGTGGTTACTGAAAATTCTTTGCTCCTGCATACTACATGCCCACCCGGCCCTCAAACCCACTGCCAGCGATGGTCCCACTTGCACCTGCAGTAGGCACCAAAGCCGCTGCTCATACCCGCTGCCAGTACCCAGCGCTGGTCCCGATCGCTCGGTGCTGTCAGTGGGTGCAAGCGGCATCTGCCGGCCCTAATTGACCCTGAGGGCTTCTCCACCTCCTCCTGCTCCCGAGTGGAGATCAGGGCAGCAGCCACAGCTCACACCTGCCGATGGCAACAGCCCCGCTTGCACCCACTGCTGGTGCCAGCCCCAATTGCTCTGCATCATCAGCAGGTATGAGTGCAGCCAGTGCCATCAATGTGTGGGAGTGGTGGTGAGAGTGGGGCTGCCATTAGACTGGGGACTGAGGGCCATGACGGGAGGGGCTGGGCAGGGGCACAGAGGATGGGCCAAGATCCACCCCTGTGCCCACTGCAGCCTCGCGGCACACAGTTCCTTTCAAGGTGCACGAATTTGTGCACTAGGCCCCTAGTAACTTTTACAAAACAAGTTGTAGAATTTCCACATTGCTTCATTTTTATAATCACAACAATCCTGAGGTAAATTGGCAGAGGAATCATTCTCATTTACAGATGGAGAACACGAAATCTAGGGAAATTAAAATGGGGGCACTAACCAGATGTTCTATAGAAATTTAAGAAATTCAGGATTTATGGTAAATCTTTAATTCCAAAACAAATAATTCATTGATAACATGGCGCCATTTAAGACCCTCTACTAGGTCAGAGGAGAAAGGGAGCAGCCCCCCTCCCTATGGAGGCCAGACCCAGCAGCCACCTGATCTCCAGTTGGGGGGATGTGGCAGAATGTGGGGAAAGAGGACATCATGGGTGGCACTGGCTGACCTAAGGTATAGGAAGAACAGCAAAAAGAAAACAGACAAGGTAGGAAAGATAAAAAGTATTAAACATGGCCAAGTAGTAAAAAATACCAACTCTCAGGATTCCTCTAAGGGACACCTGCTGTGCTAGGTCTAGGGTGGCAGACCCCAGACAACAGGCCTACCTGATGGGATTGTCTAGACTCCAAACAGCGGACCTTCCAAAGAAGCCAATGGAAGCACACTACAATGCTGTAACCTGGAGGCTCAGAGACGCAGGGGCCTCTGTTGCTCTGGGAAGGTGTTTAAAGGGCATGAGAGTTCTTACTGTGTCCAGCTCAGGAGGCAAGACACATCGATCATGGGCTATGGATTCACGTTTATTGGCATTTGATAAGGAGTCCTGGCCATGGGCAAGGAGGCAGCTTGGTGGATAGGTGTGGGTAGGAAAAAAAATCCTACCCCCCACTCAATTCACTCTATTAATCTATCACCCACACCACTCCTACCCCAACTAGTAGTCCAAAGAAGGTAAAATGGCCCAGGAACACGCTGTGCTGCTCTCTCATCAGTCCGTTGAGCCTCAGAATTGAAGAGTGAGGAGTATTTGATGTTCTGTCCATTTAGTTTCATAACAATAAATAAGCAGAGGCAGGAGGCAGTGGCAAGACACTGGCAGCCATGCATCTTGCTAGGTCTTTATAGCTGTGTCTCTGGATTTGTAGGCCACTCCTCGACTTTTCAGCTCCCTCACGATTCCTGTGATAGAAAATGAAAATGGTACTGTGAGTAAAGAAGATAGGAAAGGTCCTTCAGCTACCACTTTGGGGACAGGGAGGAATCCCTAGACTGCTCATTGAAAGTCCTTGGCTTGTTACCACTGAAGATCCAGGCAAGTATGTGGTAATGACTTGGTAAGAATGAGAAGAAAAAAAAGACACATTGCAGTTGTCAAAAGCAAGGATTCTGGAGTCAGAATGCCTGGGTTAAAGTTCTGCCTCCCCACTTACTACATGGGTAATTTTGGACAAATTATTCAACCAGTTAACTACCACAAGTCCAAAATGAAAACCATCCCCACAAGCCATGATATTTTGAATTTAATTTTAAAAAATCAATTTGCAATAAATATTATAAAAATAAATGTGTTACAATTTGGGTGTTCTTGAATATTTTTCAGCTGAAAATTCTCACGAAAGATGATTTTAAAGTTGGTCAGAGCTGCCTCTTCGGGAAAACATTTTTTTTTATAGACGCACATGGCGTGTGGGGAAGGTCTGCCGCTTGCATCTACAGACGCTTATGGCATACAATGGGTTAACCTCACTGGGCCTGGATTCCCTCAGAGTTATGAGGACTGGAGATAAGTCACACAAAAAACTTCCACAGAGCTTGGTGCAGTAAACAGACACTGGCATACATTATGATGATTATTACCTTGGGGCAGACGACCAGTGACTGACACTGCATACACACCAGGCTTAAAGTTACCTGAAAGAAAAGAAAAGAGGCTGCAGTGAGTGAGTTAAGATTAAAGACCAAATAGAGGCTTAAGCTAAACATAAAAATAATGCTACACTTCTGGCTATAAATGTTAAAGGACAGCCCTGGCAGGTGTTCTCAGTGGTCAGAGCATCGCCCACGCATTGGGGGGTAATGAGTTATTCCTGGTGGGAGGCAACCAAATGAAGTTTGCTTGTTCCTTCCTTCCTCCCTCCCTTCTTTCTCTCCCTCCCTCTCCGCTCCTCCTCTTCCTTCTATTCTCTCTGGTGAGTATTAATAAAAAAACAAAACATTAAATGACAGGACACAGGATACTTTCCTTGTCTGTCCTACAAACCTGTCTTTCTCACTTTTGAGGCCACTTACCCACTAATTTAAGACCCACCCTTGCACCCCTCCCCTGCCCCCAACAGACCAAGAGGCAGCGACAACACTAGTTCAGGATAAGGACAAAGGTAAATACTTACTGACTCGCTGCCACTTGGAGACCCAGCTGTCCTCTGGACTCATCATTGCAATGATTCTGGGAAGGGAAAAGAAACAGTCAGCCAGAGCCTCGCCTACTACAGAGAAAAACGGGAGGAGCTTTCCCCCTTTACTCTGTTCCCTGCCAGCACAACAGTTCAAAGAGTAGAAGCCCAGAACCCAGGACTGATTGAAACTTTGATTAGGTTGCTTAGTAAGTTTTGGTTTGGTACCATAGCTTAGCAAAAGTGACTCCGTTTTGGCCTGTTGGTTATTTTATTTATTTAAAATATGTTTTTATTGATTTCAGAGAGAAAAGGAAAACATAGAAACATCAATGATGGAAATCTTTGATCAGCAGCCTCCTGCAAGGCCCCTATTGGGAGATCAAGCCCACAACCCAGGCATGTTCCCTGACCAAGAATGGAATCATGAACTCTTGGTTCATAGTTTGAAACTCAAGCACTGAACCCCACCAGCCAGACTGTTCATTTATTTTATTTTTTAATATGTTTTTTATTTATTTCAGAGAGGAAGGGAGAGGTAGGGAGATAGAAACATTAATGAGAATCATTGATCCGCTGCCTCCTGCACTCCCCCTATTGGGGATCGAGCCCACAACCCACGCATGTGCCCTGACCAGGATTTTAACCCTGACCTCCTAGTTCATAGGTGATGCTCAGTGGTTGAGCAGGTTGTTTATTTAAAAACACACACACACACACACACACAAAAAAAAAAACAGTGTTAAGAAATTAAGGAAGGGACTACCTTAAAAGAATTAAAAAGGAATGAAATTAGTCCACCTTGAAGGAACTTTAGCAAGTACAGTGGAGCCTCATTTCTTGAATTTAATTTGTTCCAGAAGGGTGTATGAGAAGCAATTTGTTTGAAAACTGAATCACTTTTTCCTCCATTAGAAATAATGTAAATTTGAAGCCTCAATAAAATATATTTTTTTTTTTAAGTATCAACTTTGGGGCAATATTTTATCATCACTGTACTTTCCCTCCTCTTCAATTTCAAAAAGGATCCTCATGCATTCAACAAACGTTTATTAAGCATCCATAATCTTCCAGGCCTTTTGCCAGGTTCTGGTATACAACCTAAACACAATCCCTACACTACCATCAGTGAGCTCACAGTCTAGTGGAGAAATGGCCAGTGGAAATATAATGAAAGTTGCACTAGTTACTTTAAATTTTCTAGTAGCCATTCTTAAAACAGTAAAGACAAAAAAATAAAAAAGCTAATTCCAATAATACATTTCATTCAACCCAATATATTCAAAGTGTTATCACTTAGGCATTTAATTAAAAAGTAAGCTATTTTACATCATTTTTCCTTGTACTAAATCTTTGAAATCTATGTATATTTTACACTTAAAGCATATCTCAATTTGGACTAGCCATAGTTAATGTGCTCAAAACCACACATGGCTAGTGGCTACTGTACTGGACATTGTGTCTCAAGTAACTTTGAGATATGATTCAGAATTATATCAAAAGTCTGCCCCAGCCCTGGCTGGGTGGCTAGGTTAGAGCGTCGTCCCGTACACCAAAAGGTTTTGGCTTCAATTTCTGGTCAAGGCACATATCTAGATTGCAGGTTCAATCCCCCATTGGGTGTATAAAGGAGGCAACTGTTCAATGTTTCTCTCTCTCAAAATATCAATAAAAATATATCCTCGAATGAGGATTAAAAAAAAGTCTACCCCACATTCATTTGGTAGTGTAGTGTAAGGGTAATGTAGAAGTGAATAAAGAAATCTAAAGGGACTTACCCATCAAAAGAAGAGCTGGTGCAGTCATATACCATCTCTCGGTTACCCTTCATCTGAAGGTATGCATCACAATTGTCACAACCATCATATTCAAACTGGTCTATAGTCTATGAGGGAAGAATTTTAAGAAGATAAGTGGATGTGAACAAGACCAAAAGAAAAAGCAGCTTTCTCCACACTTCTACCTGGTCAAGTATAAGACCCGCCTATATTGGCTGTCTCATCAGACAGAGGTCCCCCACTCACCACTACCACAGTCCCGAAATTTCATCCTCTGGCTCCCAATTGTGCTTTACTATTCCTTTCCCTAGTCTCCTCCAGATCAGGTACTCTCTCCATCTACTCCCTCTGCTATTGATCCCACTTCTCTGGCTCCCAGTGTCATTCAGACCCCACAGAAGTTCACTGAAGGTCTGTTAAGGGTCAGGCCTGCGCTAAGAATTGAAGGTTCAAAGGCATGTAAGACCGTCCGTGCCTGAATTCGGCTGCCAGATCTGTTCCTACCGATGTAAACAATAGCCTCCAGCTGCTTCCTGCACCCCCAGCTTTTCCCCCAGGTCCCCACTCATCCAACAACCAGGTCACGACACATACCTTGACCAGCGAACACAACAAACAAGCCCGCAGGTGCCGCAGGTCCTTGGGCACCGTCTCCAGAGCCATCCTCTGGACTGAAACAGAACAGGGAAATGCTGCCACAGCACCCTTCTCTGCCGAATATAAACAGGGAATTACCCAGAATGCCTGTCACTTCCGGTTCCTGAGATGTCTGCTTCCGGTCCAAGAGGCCGCAGCCCCGCCCCTACCCCCGGCCTTAGGAAATGGTTTCTCCCGCCTGGGGGCGGGGCCGGCCGGCAGTCACCTGGGCCGGCGCGCGCCCCTGCCACCTGGGCGGGCACGAGGGCGGGGCGGCCGTTGGGCCTGGGGGCGGGGCCTGGGGGCGGGGCGGCGCCGCTGGCGCCTGCGCGGGGACGCGCCGCGGCGCGGGCTATTTGATCTCGGCGCTGGCACCAGGCCGCGCGCCAGGTCTTTGCGGAGGATCCCGGATGAGAGCTGGTTTTATTTTTTGTCCTCCCGCTTTTTAAAAGTGCAGGGCCAGAGTCCACGGTCTTCCCCCTCGATCATCTCTGCAGAGAGCGAAACGAAATGCAGGGACGGCCCTCTCCCTCCTGACTGAGAGCATTGTCAGCTGTCCATCTGCCGTCCACAGGAATGCTGGCCTGTGAGGGGCCAGCAGGGCAGGGTGGGGGGGGGAATGCATATTTATTTTTTTAAACTCTACGTTCGTTCCCTCATTCCAGCTGATAATTTATGCTTTTAGCATGTAGACTTCAGAACATATTCGAGATTAGGGGCCTTTAATTATTATTGTTGTTGTGTTATTTTCATTTTACCCTGTAGGAAGCTAAATGCTTTGCTCTGTCTGTGGTTCAAGATTGGACACCAGGCAGCCACCACCCCTACCAAGCCTTTCCCAGAGCAGCAGAAGGGGATGTGCACGGCGAGGTGGAGAGCCAGGGCTCGGGGCCCTGTGGGATTTCATGCTGACATTGCACCAGCTCTCTTGACCCACAGTAGTCGGTGTGGAGGCAGAACACAGCCATTGGTGTTTATCTGGTTGGAGTTTTGGGTATAGACAGCTTCAGGCCCTGCTGTTCTGTCCTCTCAGCCAGGCCTCCGAATTGAAACAGCTTCAGGGCAGGCCTGCTTGTTGTGGGGTCCCAGGCTGTGTGCAGGTGGGGTCCCAGGTTGAGCGCATGTCCTCTATCACTGGTTACTTTCCCCTTTGGAACATGGGTCCCCTCTGCTATCTCAGGGGGGCTCTGCAACAACTGTGACGTAGGCCCATTTTATGGGTGGAAAAGTGAGGCACAGAGTACTAACCCAAAGTCACAAAGAAAGTGGCTGATGTGTCATAAATTAGTGTGTGAAGCAAATTGCACCCCAATAATTCAGACTGAACCACCGTGAGAAATCCAGTCATCCTTCCTCCTTCCCTGATCTCCACTGAACCATGCGTTCAGGGGCTTTTAGCCTGGCTCTCGTTGCCAAGCCCCCCATTCTACCCTGTCCTTTCACACGTCAGAGCCGAGCCTCTATACCACAATTTATTTCTGTCGACGTAGAAGACGCAGGTGTCACCCTGGGTGACAGTCATAACAGAACAAAAAAACCACGAGACCAAGACTGCATTTATGGATAAATATATTAGCAAATAAATACATTTCTCAACATAGTGCCTGATTCAAGCGTCTCTCTGTCTGGTTCAGATATAAATAACCATGTGGGTGCCTCAGTACCAGTTCCCCACTGACTGCAGGAAGAACATTCCCGGGGGGGGGGGGGGGGGTCCTGTGCCCACTCTGCTCCCACATTCACATTCCAAATGGGATCATGCCTGAGGGGCCAGCAATGGTCAGGCTGCCCTGGGGTGAATGTCACCCCAAGGAGGCCCCTCAGCCCTTGCCCAATCGGTACCAGCTACTCAGACCAGACTTCCTGCTCGAAATCTACTCCTGCACTCACGCCTTTCCGTGTGTCCCCTGGCCTGTATGGCTTATACTGGGAAGTGAGCCTCTGGGGACATCTAAACCCAACGGTCACACTCTGCTGTTCCTTTGTTCTCTCCTGTTCCCTATCCCTACTCTGAGAGAAGACTCCTAGACAAGAATCCCTTGTCCTTGTTCAGCTGTCTTTCTGCCTTCTCTACTTTTATTCCATCTTCCCTCTTTCTAGATGAAGTCCAACAGAAATCCTCTTCGTTCCGTCCACTTTGGGACTTTGACATGGGAGATCTCCAAGGAAGTTATCCTCTCCCATCCCCCCACCCCCAACTCCTGGAGAAATGCGGGGGGGGGGGGGGGGGGGGGCGTAGGGCTGCTGGAGTGACAAAGAAGCTTGGAGGTCAGAAGCTCCACCTCAGGGAGAGAACCCCATACTCTGGCTTCCCAGAGCCTCCCTTCTGACTTAATATCATGTATCTGAAAATTAAGGACAAGAAGGGAGAAACACATTCCCTTATGTACTGGGGCGAGGACTGCCAAGAGTCCTCCCATCCCGCACCGCTTTTAGGGTTCAGGGGTCACCACAGCTCTTGATCCTTTTGCATAAAAGGAAAACGATAAGAGCCAAGGTTGGCGCTGATGCAGCAGCCTTACCCAAGGGGGAGCCAAACGGGTGTGCAGGACTCGCCCAAGAAAGGAGGCGAGGAGGGGGTCATGAAATCGGCTGGACACGTTGTCTGGCATGAACATGAGGCTTGGGATGAGGGAGACCTGCTGGGGCTGGGGGAAGGAGCAGCACCTTTATAACACCTATCTACCCATACCGAGCTTCCTGCTCTCAGAAACACAGCCTTCCGGGAAGCCAGCCCACACAGGCCGTATAACTGGTTCCCTCCCGGACACAGACGTGCTGCCCTGCACATGTGAGCTGCGGACAAGCTCTGGGGCTGGGAGCAGGAAACAAGACCTCCTGCCACCCACCATCCCGGCTCCCCTTCCAATGGTTCCAGAAAGGACGGCGAAAAGAGGGGTGTTTTCTGAGATCCTTTCTTCTCTCGGGAGCAGGACTCTGTGCCAGGTAGGCCCTGAGTCATCCAGAGCACACTCTTGGTTGGAGGTAATTACCCCGGAACATCTCACACGGCCTGTTCACACAGCTCCTCCAGCTCCTCCTCCGAGCCTGCATTTGGAAGAGAGGGGAGGAAAGAGGTCACAGAGGGTCACACAGCCCCTGTGCTTATACTACCTTCAGGAGAGGATGGCAGGGAGGGAACCGCAGAGAGGGGGGAGTAGGGAGTGTGTTCAGAAGGGGGTGTGTGTGTCAGAATGAAAGCTGAGAGGGGCCCTAGTTGGGATACAGGGAGAAGAAAAACAAATCTAGAGAAAGAGAAACACATAATAGCAACCAGTGTGTTACCGATGTTTACTCTTCATCCATTCATCCTATAAATACTTATTAAGCACTCTTGAATCTGAATCTTTGAACAGGTGCCAAACTGAAGACCAAAAAGTTACTCTTTTGTATGAACTCGGCTACCTTGTAGGAGAGGAGGCTTGTGTGCAAATGGCAATGGTGCCAGTGGGACAGGACTGGGGTCATGAGAGATGAAAGGAGTAAGGAGAGAGAGCATGTCCCAGGGGAGTAAGGAGCTGGTCCTTTAGGAACACGTACGAATTTGGAATGATGGGAATAGGAAGGCAGCAGAATATTCCGGGCTGCAGAATCTGCATCACATGTCAAACCAGTTTGGCTAAAGCGTGGACCAAGGCAAGGGAAAGGAGAGAGTGGAAAATAAGGTTGGGAAGGAAGATGGATGCTAGGTGGTGCTAGAGCTTTGAACCAGGTTGGATTTTTTTGTTTTTTTGTTTTGTTACTATGGACAAAACAGAACATTGGAGGATTTCTGGATGGCTGATTTGAGGAAGATGGCCCTGGCAGCAGTACACTTAAAAGAGTAAATGGGCTCAGCATGTGTTGTTTAGTGGTTGAATGGCGACCCATGAACCTGGAGGTCAGGGTTCAATTCCTGGTCATGCCCAGGTCATGCACATGCCCAGGTTATGGGCTCCATCTCCAGTAGGGGGCATGCAGGAGGCAGCCCATCCATGATTGTCTCTCATCACTGATGTTTCTCTCCCACTCCCTCTTTCTGGAGGGGGGGAAAAAGAGTAGATGATTTACACTTCTATTTCCCAATCAGAGGTGTAAATAGCTTAAATCACTTTGCTCAGGGAGACAGATAGCAAAAATCCGATGGGTACCACTTGCCAACCACACCCAAGGACAGATGAGATTAAGAGAATAAATCTCATTTTGGTACATCATCATAAAGCTGATGATTATTCTATTGAAATTCTCCCCCAAGTCCTCCCCTAAAGGCCTAGTCTTAAACCCCTCAAAGGTCCCAGCAAGCACTCTCCTTCCCAGGAGCACCCCCTTGCCTTTCTCCTCCAACTTCTTCTTCCCCCACAGGCATGCTTCCCCTAAACTCTAAGGGACCCCAGGAGGCTTGCCACCAGGAGAGCAATGGGCAGTGACAGTTCATCCCAGGCAAACCCCTTGAACCTGTCCCCAAGGCCCCCTTTCCTCTGACTTCTTAGTGAGCTGAAGCAGCCCCGCCTAGACATTTCCCCAGGCCTCCTTTGTCCCACTGTCCCCAGCTTTAATAAACATCCTCTAAAAATTTTCTGCAAGAAGTCAGGGACACATACAGTATCATCAGCCCTAGGCAGACCCTCTCAGGAATAGGTCCTCTGACCTTCTCTGGTAACATCCCTGCCTGGTCCATAACTTTGCACCTCAGAATATGTCCAGGAACATGTCTCCCTCCTGAGGGGGTCAACTTCAGTCTAGAACAGAATTCTCACCTGGACCTGAGGCGGAAACCTGACCATGTCTACTTGACCTTGGTCTAGCCAGAACCCAGGTACCCAGGGCCACTCCCTCCTCCCTGGAGGGCCTGGACCCATCCACACAGAGCCACACTTCCTGACCCCGGCTCCACTCACAGCTCAGGAGTCCCAAGTCCTAGCTCAGACCTTTCCACCCCAGGTGTTTTCTAACGTCTATGCCACGCTAAGATTTCCCCTGAGACCTCCCTGCGATCTATAACCAAGGAATGATACCTGGCAGAGCCAGAGCGCTCCAGCCGGCAGCCTAGGCAATGCCAGTAGTTTGGTATTTTGACTGTCACCCCTGTTGTACACTTCTCAGCGCCCATCAACCCTGGTCATGGGATCTCATTTGTTCTGCAATATACAGCTCTCCTCTCCTCTCCCCACCACACCCGCTTCCCCTGAAGACTCACCAGGCTGGGCTGGCAGCACCTGGCAGTGTGGGTAAGGGCATGGCCTGCCCTCTAGGGTGCCAGAACTCCATCTGGAAGGCCCTTCCCCAGGTGGGTGTGGTCCCAGGGGCTGGCGTGGAGTCAGACACAACCACACTGGCTGTGAACTTGAGTAACAGGCGCCTGGGGTTTCTGGTAGCGTCCTCCTTTCTAGGCCCGGAGGTCCAAAGATCAATGGGTGGGCCTCTGGGGGCCAAGGGTATGCCAGGCTTGGGTCATAATGGGGGGAAATCTGGCAAGTGAGGTGTACAGTCAAGTCCTGGGGCCGAGAGGCTGGGGTAGGTTCTGAGGGAGCCCCCCGCCGTCTCCTCTGAGGGTGTCGGACAGGAAAGCCCGATTTCTGCAGGTGGAAGAGGCTGCCAGGACTGGGGCTGGGGCTGGGGCGGGCAGCATCATTTAGGTCTGGGGCTGGCTCTGGGAGGGCTCTGGGCTGTGGCGGGTTGGGGAGCTGCCCGGTCGGGGCTGCTGCATTGGATCTGGCAGCTTGCTGATCAGGAGAGGAGGGCTCCGGCTGGGGCTGTGTCCGAGGAACAGCAGGCCGGGACTCGAGCACCCCCGTTTCAGCACCAGGCTTCCGGCCGTGCCACTGGAAGCGCTTTTTGTAGTGGTGGTGCCGATGGCGATGGTAGTGGACGTGGCTGGAAACCTGGGCTTCCCCTCTGGGCACCACCGATTCCAAAGAGCGAGGCCGCGAGGTCACGCTGGGCTGAGCCTCCTCCCCCGGGGGCTCCCCTTCAGGGCTGCAGTACACCAAGGGGTCAAAGTCACTGCTCAGAGAGCTGCGGAAGGTGGAGCTGCTGCCGTGGATGCCCTGCAGGCTGACGTCCGTGCAGTTGACCATGGAGTCACTTGAAGAGCCATGACAGGGCCCCGAACTGGAGTCGCTGGCCGGCCCGTCTGCCAGGTAGCCGCTGCGCTCTGTGCAGTAGCTTTCCGCAGACCCACTGCTGTCGTGAGGCCTGGCCCGGCGTGAGGGTGCCGGGCACGCGGCAGGATGCTGTGCAGTGCACTGAAGGCGGCTCAGACCCCAGCTCTGCGCAAAGGGGTGCTGGGTCGCTGTCCGATGCTGCTGCTCACCTGGAGCCAGGGGGTGTGCAGCTCTGGGGAGGCGGTGGTGCCGGGGGCCTGTGCCTGGCTCCTGGGAGGGTTGGAAGGGACTAGGTCGTGGGGGCCGAGCCACTGCAGTCCGGGGAGGGCCCAGCAGGTAGGAAGCAGGGAGGTGGTAGTGGGCATGACCAGGATGCTGACGAATAAGGTGGAGTCTCCGGCCTGGTTCCTGGTAAGATCGAGAGGGTGCCAGGGACTGGGAAAATGAATCTCCCTCTGGAAGAAAGAACCAAGAGCACAGGTGTTTGCACAAACCTATGAGGGTGCATTCAGAAAGGTGTGGCTATAGCATACCTACTTGAGCCTGCACAGCCGTAGCGCCCAGTCAGAATTTGGGCGACCAAGGGCATTCCTAACCTGTAAGTGCCCTGGGATGCCCCCGTGCCCTCCCGACAGGTTGTCCCCTGGGATTTCCGCTCTGCATGGCAACCCCTGCTCCCCTCAGTCACGGGGGCTCTTTCACCCAGGCCGCTGCAAGCACGCACTGCACCGCTGGGTGAATTAGAAAAAGACTCTCTTTTCCTCGAGGTACTTCATTTCCATCTCTTAGAAAACTGTCGTAATATCCTGGTTGTGTTAGAGTAGGATTGTTTATTGCCAGAGTGTTGAAATCATAAATATACAAGTTCAGATTTAGACTCAACAAAGCTGCCATAAAAACACAAACAGTTTTTAGAATAATAAAGATGCCTGCCCTGTGAATGGCTGTCCCCTCAGACAAGACACTCCCGAACAGTGTGCAGCTCAGAGAACCATGGAGGTAGTGCTGCTTCCTCCCAGCGTCAAGGCAAACCCTTCCCCACAGGGAAACCAGGTTCCAGACCAGGGATGGGGAACCTCCAGTCCGTGGGCCATATAAGGCCCACAACATCATGTGGTCTGGCCCTGTCAAGGCATTAGGGGTGCGTTAATTGAATGTTTGACCAAATAGAGCAGGCTAATTTTAAGTTGATAATTTTGTACGGCCTGCGAATGATGCTATAAATACCCACATGGCCCCTGGCAGAAGAGAGGTTCCCCATCCCTGTTCTAGACCCGTCTGCCTGTACAGAGGGCAGATCTTAGTCCACCTCCTACCTACGATGTTGAACATGCAGAGGGGGCAAGTCCGATGCTGATACAGCCAGGGGTCCACGCAGGCACAGTGGAACTCGTGGAGGCAGGTAATGACTCGCAGCTCCTGGAGAAAACAAGGGGGCCACACCAAAGTTATCAGTAGCTACATGAGTGGCCAGGAACCGGAACATCCCCCTAGCTTCCTCTGGTGGCCTCTCCTTTTTTTTTCTATCACCTACTTTCAAAGACCTCCTAGTGGAATAGGCAAGGTATGGGCTTTGGTATAAAGTAGACCTGGATTTTGCCACTTAGCTACATGACCTTGGACAAGTTTCTTAACAGTTGTCTGCTGTACAAAAGGATAAAAAAACTAATCTACCCTCACCCCTCATGGTCATGAGGCTAAAAGGAGATAATGCATCTAAAGCACCCACTGCAGAGCCTGGCACATGGTACACGCTCAACAAACAACAGTTCTCTTTCCTGGAAGACCAGGAAAATAACTAAACCTCAAGGATGTCCCCTTCCTCTGCTCCTTGCATGATACAAAGGACACAGATGCAGCCAGAACACCCACACCAGCCTCCTCCCCCAAGCTCTAGTCTCCCTCCCCAGCCTGGTCACAGAGGTGAGCCATGGTGTCTGCCTTACCTGGCCCTCAGAGAACTCCTCCAGGCAGATGGCACACACAGGAGCTGAGCTGCAGCTGCTCTCCGAGTCTGGCCACTCAGCCCGTGTCCTCCTACAGCTGGCCCGGTACCTCCTGGTGGCCAGCTGGCTGATGGCCCAGGCTGTTCGCTGCTGAAGGGAATCCTGGGAAGAAGGGTAGGGCTCAGAATGGGTAAGGGATCCTTTTCCCTCACCCCTGGGCCCCAGCTTGTACTTAATTCCTGGTAGATCATGTGGTCAATTGACTACCTTCAAAAGTTTGTCATATTTGAGTTCATATATGGCTCTGCCAAGCAGGCCAAGCGCTCCCACCCCACTCCCCCACTCATCAAGCTTCCCTTCCCTTGTTGACCCGATGGAGAGAGTTTTTATCCAACTGCCTGCTTAACATCTCAACTTGGATATCTAATTGGCACCTCAAACTTTGTCCAGCTTCTTCCTCAAACACCCCACTGTGCCACACACTGAATTCCCTGGCCCCAGTGAACCCTCCCAACCACATACCTGCCCTCCCCTAGTCTTTCTCATCTCAGTCAACGGCAATTCCATTCCTTTAATTGCTCAGGCCAAAAATCTTGGTGCCATTCTGGACTCCTCTCTCTCACACTCCATGATCACCCCACTAGTAAGCCTGTAGCTCTACCTTTGGAGCATTTAACTAACTGTCACCTCTTTCCCCGCTACCTCCTTAACCCAAGCTACCATTACCGTCACCTGGATTCCTGTAAGAGACTCTTCGTCGGTTTCTCTGTTTCCAGCCCTGCCTCCCTGTAATCTAGTTTCCTCAAGGCAGCAAGAGGGATCAGATTAAAACTCAAGTCAGATCCTGGCACTCCTTCTGTGAGAAAGCCTCCAATGGCTCTCATTTCACCGAGGATGAAAGCACAATACTGACAATGGCCTACACAGCCCAATGCAACTGGCCCTCGTGACTCCTGCATGCCCTCTCACTCCCTTGCAATCACTCCCACAGGCTCCGCCTCAAGGCCTTGACTTACTGCTTTCTTCACTCAATCATGCTGTCCCCAGATACCTGCACAGGTAACCTCTCACCCATTTAGGGTCTTTCCTGTAATGGCATCTTCTCAATGAGGCTTCCTGGCCTTACTTATCCCCCCCACCCCCCCCAAGAAAAGCATCTTTCTTTCTTATTTTTATATTTTTATTGATTCCAGAGAGGAAGAGACAGGGAGAGAGAGATAGAAATATCAATGATGAGAGAGAATCATTGATAGGCTGCCTCCTACACACCCCCTACTGAGGATCGAGCCCAAAACCCAGGCATGTGCCTTCGACAGGAATTGAACCTGGGACCCTTCAGTCCACAGGCCGATGCTCTCTATCCACTGAGCCAAACCGGCTAGGGCCCTGGCCTTACTTTTTCACTCTGTCCCCTTTGCCTTGCCTGTCCTCCTTTCTATTATATCCCCCCCCCCCCCCCCCCCGGACATATGACCATCTAAAATACTATGCATTTTACTTCTTTATTTTGTTTATTGTCTGTCTCGTCCCACGAGAATGAAATCTCCTGAGGGAAGGGATCTGTTGTCTTTTTTGTTTCCTGTGCTACTCCCAGTCCCTGGAACAGTGCCTGACACACAGGAGGGGGCTCCCTGTATTTATCAAATGAATGTGCAAACCTATGGAGAGAGGCTGCTGGAAATCACCGAAGCTCAATACCAGTCTGTTCAGATGTAAACTGTTTCATGACATAAAGGCAACCTCTTTCCTCACTTTGGTTTCCTGCTCCCCACCCTCCCACACACATGCACACGCCCACCTCCACCAGGGAGCCCACCCTGCTCACCGGCCTGCTGTGGCGTGGGCGGCACCGGATGCGCAGCACTGAAGCCAGGATGACCACAAAGATGGTGCCCACCACCGTCAGGAGGATCCACACATCGTAATCTGGCTGGGGGAGTGAACCGAGAGGGAAAGGGTCACATTCTGGAAGGAGCTGGGTCAACTTGGCAGAACATGGGAGCCCGGGTGGCATGTCATGAAGGCTGCTAAAGGTCTCCTGGAGTTTTCTAGCAGGTGAGGCTGGGTAGGAAGCACCTGCAGGTGGGGCTAGGTGGTTCCTCCTGCCCACAGGCACTCACTTGTAGGAGAAGGTCCTCCAGATGCCAGCTGTGAGAGGCACTATCTGAAGACCCACGTGCTTGGGGGGAGTGGGAGAGAGACCCCTCTGAGAGGAGGGAGCTGCCTAGGGAGCAGAGGGGGAGGCTCCCAGCCAGTAGAGAAACACCAGCCAGGGTTCTCAGGGGGCTGAGGGGTCAAGGTTTCATTCTGGCTCTGCTCCTCTCTGCCACAAAACCACAGAGCTAAAAACAACGTTAAAACTCCCCTTTGCCCTCTCTGCAGAGGAGGCCCCAGAGGGGAAGGGAAAGTGCCCGGAGACACACAGCTGGTGGAGGACATCGGACTAGGGGGTTTCTGAGGTCTCTCCAGGAGTATAGGGGCTGTCAGTGGGAGATGCCATGGGGCAAAGTGAGGGTAAGAGCAGGTGCTGGGGCAGGAGACTGGCAGTGCTTACCCAGGTCGGGGGCTCCTTCAGCTCAATCCTCACGTGGGCCTTCCGGTTCTTGTACACAAACTCCATCAGCTTCTCGGCATCATGACCCCAGATCAACACCACTGGCCAAGTCAGCCCCAGCGGCTGCTGCAGCTGCGGAAGGAAAGTGCCCATGGGGGCTGCTGTGTCCTGACTTCTCGGCCTCCCCCCACCTCACTTTGCCTTCCTCTGGCCAGCCCCTCCTCCAACACCCCAATGTCCCTGGGTACCTGTTCCGCAGCGGCTCGGTCCTCGGTGATGTCAAAGAGGACGGCGCTGGCTCCTCGCTCACCTGCCATTCGGGCCTGCAGAGACACACGGCAGAGGTCTAGCTGGGGGTCAGAGAAGGACACAGCCCATCCACACCCCACCTTACCTCCTCCCACATCCGCCCCTTCCCAGGACCCTGTACACACCGCAGCCCTGCACACTCACCTGTAAGGGGTTAGTGGAACTGGGGTTCCCTACCCTACCCTGAGTTCACCCAGGTCCTACTGCCTTCAAGGACAACATTCAGGCCTTCCTTTCCGAATGCACAAACCCTTAAGGAGGGTTAGTAGGTATCGGGTGCTCCAAAGGCTTTAAGGCTAGGCCCAAATAAGGCAGCTCAGGTCCTCAGGGTCTCACCAGTCTGCCTTCACTAAGAGTGAGGGCATAGAGTAGGGAGTGGCCAGCAGCCCAGGGCCTGAGGGTGACCAGTCCCCAGTACAGAGGGAGTGGGGAGAGCAGAGAGGTGGACAGCTGCTTCTGAACAGAGCTGGGCTTTCCAGAGTCCAGCCCTGCCTGACAAGGGGAATTTGTGGGGGGGAGGGGGGTCCCCCAGTGCAGGCAAAGTTCCCCAAGAACCTGAGACACTGCTCCTCCCCGAGGTCTTCATGCAGAGCCCCAGGCTCAGCCCACCTCATGGGCTCCCTGGTTTGCCAGCTCTTCCTTTGACGCCAAATTCAAGGAGCCTTATCCTTTCATCCCCTCCCTGAGAGGTAGCACCAGAGACTCAGCGGGGAGGGACCTGAGAGGCTGCTCCCGCAGGACACGCTGCACACATGTGCACAGGCACGCTTGCCACGGCTCCCGGAGCAGGCTTGGGGAAGCAGAATCTAGCCAACCAGGCGGGGAAGAGAGCAGAGCCAGAAAGAGAACAAAAAGCAGGGATCTTGGGGCTCTGGGTGTGGGGTAAGAGAAGGGCGATAAGAGCTGAGGACGGGGAGGGGACACAGGGCAAAGGACCGACAGACAGTCACTGCTTCTGGCCTTCGTGTCAGGTCTCCCTGCCCTGCACAGCCACCTCCAGACTTCCTCCCTACAGCAAAGGCCGGGCCCTCATGCTCCTGGGGGCCTGCTGAGTGTGGGGGCCCTCCTGAGGGTACTGAAGGAGTTAATCCTCCTGTAAGCAGCAGTGGCAGGAAGAGGAGCCAGTGCTGGGGCTTACTCACACTCTCGGAGCTTTGATCTCTGCTTCCCTTCCTGCAGAGAGCCTGTTGGGGCAGGTCTCCTGCCAGGCAGGCCCGGGGAGCGGCCACTCTGCTCCCTGCTCCCCAGGTGGCAGCAAGGCCAGGGGCCCCTCAGAACAGGCCACCTGTAGGCAGGGGAGCCCAGGAGACACCCAGAGGGACCCTGTTTTGGTCAGGAGGGTAACTTTCCTCTTCTCTCCTCTCGCAGGGAAGCTGGGCTGGGGCCTCTACCAGCGCCCAGGCCCAGCCCAGGCCAAGCTGCCAGGCTAATTGACTGGAAATTCACGGGACTCCGCGACTCCAGAATGGAGTTACTGATGACATAGAGAGGTCACAGCCTTCTTCCGCTTCTGCCCACTTCCACCCAGGAAGTCCCCCCCAAGAGCCCTCCCTCCCCCAAGCCAGGGTGTGGGAGCGGCCATAGGGGAAAAGGAGGGGGACTCCTACAGCTAATCTCAGAGTCCAGGCTTGGCCAACGGGCAGGGAGGTCACCCCAGTCTCCCCAGAACGGAGAGTCCCGGATCCTCTCGTGCTGCCCAGGCCTCACGTTTCTCTTCCCCAGAACGAGAGCCTGGACCGGCCCTGCCTGGAACAGCATGAGGGAAGGGCACAGACGCCCCCCCCCCCCTTTTTTTTTTTTTTTTTTGAGATTTTACTTCCCACCCCTGTCTCTTTGAAGGATTGGTGTAGAAACAGTGGAAAGTAATTGCCCTGCTGTTCAAACACCCCAGCCCATTACAGCCCATAATTATGAAGTCGTAAAAGTGATCAAAGAGAAAGTTGGCCAAGAGGAGAAACAAAAAGGACTTTCAGGCAGAGGATGCCTGTGTCTAGAGTTCTAGGAATCAAAAAGCAAGCTTATGGGCCTCTGGGCTGCCCGCGTTCCCTCCCGTCAGTGGGAGGGAGGGAGGGAGGGAGAAGAAGCACCTCTTCAGGAGCTAGAATCTGAAAGGCAGGAAGGAATGGAAGACTGGGCTTTAGAAAGACAACCCAGAGGCTTTTGGGAGCTGCAAAGAGTCAGCCAGACCCCCAGGGGGAGCAAGCAAGGCTGCCCTCAGCCTCCATCCACGGGAGTCAATGCAGCTCTGGGCTTCCGTACTGCACTCTGCACTTTCCTGGGCCTGTGAGCTTCCTCTCCAGACACAGGGACAGCCTCAGTACATCTCCTCCTCATCAGAGATTGACTGAGCACCTACTGTGCACAGGGCATCAAGACAGGGAAAGCCAGGCCTCGAGACCAACTCATAATCTAGTTGTTGGAATAGGGCATAATACATAAAATTATAGTGCTAAAAACAAAGAAAAAAATGTTATAACACTGATGACCACGTGTTTTTTCTCTCTCTCTCATTTTTGTCTTTTGTTTTATATGTGTTTTTTTAAAACTGATTTCAGAGAGAGGAAGAGAGAGGAAGAAAGATAGAAACATCAATGGCAAGAGAGAATCATTGATCCGCTGCCTTCTGCAGGCCCCTTCTGGGGTTTGAGCCTGCATGTGCCCGGACTGAGAATCAAACTGTGACCTCCTGGTTCAAGGTCAACACTCAAACACTGAGCCACACAGGCCGGTGCTGACCACATTCTTGAGCACAGATGAATAAAATAATCATTTTCCAAACCTTTTTTTCACTGCAGAGAGCCCTTCTCTCCACTACCCAGCACCCCCCTGCCCCCCTCCCCCACCTCGCCACACACACCACACACACACACACACACACACACACACACAATCTGACACAATCTTCAATACACGAAACAGATCAAAGTGAGCTGCAGTTGAGGGTAGGAGTAAGACGGGCCCTTGGTTTCCCCAATCCCCAAGGCGCTTCCATGAAACCTGGTGTGAAAAGAACAGCCAGAGACCCTGGCAGTGTGCCAGGAGGGAGAGATTGCTGTTCCTAGTGGGTGAGCTGGGCTGGGCCCATCAGGAATGACCCAGTAGAAGGAAGAGGGGATTCATCTGGGCTTGGAGGAGGAGGAAGTAGAAGAGATAGAACCTTTATTGAGACCCACTCTACCCAGACTGCTTAGTCTGAGTCCTGAATTTGCTACTAATTATTACCTGTGACACTTTAGGCAAATCATTTAACTGTTCTATGCCTCAGTTATCCTTTCTGTAAACTGGGGGTGGGTGTAGGACCGACTTCACAGGGGTGTTGTAAGGATTATATAACTTAACCCATGTAAAGCCATTAATAGTGCCTGGCACGATACATTCCTTAGTTATTGGTTATTATTACATCCTTTGTGTCCATGATTCCTTTCTTTCTTTCCTTCCCCCCCCCCCGCCCCCATGATTTTATTTACTCCTCAAAACAACTCAGTAAGATGGTCATCGGCCCCTCTTTTGAGTTGGGAGACCTAGGACTTCAGCCTGGTGAGTGCCCGGTTACCAGACAGTGGTCTCTATAGGAAGGGAGGCAGGGTTTGTGTCCATCTGCTGGCCCCCAGAGCCAGCTCCTTCCACCAGGCAGAAGGCCACTACTCTAGTCCAGGCACTAGACTAGAGGTGACAGAGGCCTGGGTAATCATGAGAATGGCTGTGGAGTTGTTCATAAAGACACAGCAAGCAGTTTGGGTGACTGGGTAGTGGGAGAGGGAGTGGTGGTGACAACAATGGACAGGGAGCCAAGTACTCACAGGCATGTGAAATCACATCTCTGAGCCCTCCTTCCCCTCTTCTGCTCCCTCCCCCCTTCTCCACACACACATACACATACACACACACACACACACACACACACGCGCACACACGCACACACGCACGCACACACTATCTCCATTCACGTTATCACTACCTAACACCAAGCATATTGTCTACCAAATGAATAAATGAAGGGTATTTTCCCAGAAGAATTGTAATGAGGGTTTCAGAGATCAAGAGAGAGTAGTGAAAGAAAAAACCCAACCTTGTCACTATGAAAGCATGATGTGATGACGACAACAGCGATGCTGCAATGGTTTATTGAGTGGTTTACGTGCTTGGCCTAAGGCTAAAAGCTTCCATCTGGACCGTCACTGCCTTATGGTGGAAGTCCCATCATTACTCCTCTTTTACAGACAGGAAACAGAGGTTCTGAGAGGTGAGCTAAAACGTCCAGGTAACACTGAGGGGCAGTGAGACGCCAGGCTTCAGGCCCCGGGATGCCTGGTTCAAGAACCTCAGCTGCCCATGGGGATGGAACCACTGACACTAACCAATAGGTCAGAGCAAAGCGACTGAGGTTAGTGGTTTCCACACTTTCCTTACCAAAGGCCCACCCTTCACCGGTGCCCCTCTCGAGCTATTTTAAAAAATACATTTTTTTTTTTACCTGATTAGTTGCACTTGTATATCTATATCACATTTTCCTATGAGATAACTTGTATGAACACATTGAATGGAATTCCAACCAAAAGCAAAAATGGAACATTTCAGTGAAGGCTGTGGGGCTCTAAAATATTGGGAGGAGCTCAAAGGCCCACATGACTACCTTCACGGACCTCCTCTGGGCCAGGGGGTCCCAGGCAGGAGCTACTCGGTCAGGCCAAAGGCTGAGACCTGAGGGAAGCCGTGTCCCTGGCTGTGGGGCAGGTTGGGGCTGGAGCTGTGCCTACGAGGCTCTCACCCAGGGATGGGGGGCTGCCCATGAGAAGCCGGGGGGAGAGTGCGGTGGGAACAGGACGTGGAGAAAGCGTGGACAGTGACCGCAGAGGCTGAGAAAGACAAGGTTACAGGACAGCGGCCAAGGTGCTTAGTCCCTAGATGTTTGTTTGTTTGCTTTAGCTCAGGCACTACTTGTTGCTTAACACACACTGTTTTCAATCCTCACCATAATCACTGGGGCAGGAAATAAAAGCCCCATTTGATGGAAGTGGAAACAAAGGCCCAGTAGCTCCAAGAGTGCCGACCGCATGCTCCCTGCCTCCCAGTGTCTGCGCACAGCCTCATTCCCGCTAAGGAGCGTGCTCCTCCGCTCCGGGGCGGAGAGGAAGCCTCCGCGTGCACACGTCCTGACAGGGAGCCAAGTGCTCACAGGCACGTGGAATCACACACTGCTCTGGGGGAGCAGCGAGCGCCTCTGAGCCCTCCTTCCCCTCTCCCGCTCCCTTTCCCCCCCTCCACACACACACACACACACACACACACACCATCTCCACTCATGCCATCACTACCTAACACCAAGCATCTTGTCTACCAAATGAATACATGAAGGACATTTGCCCATAAAACAAGGGCAATGAAATGGCCAGAAGCAGGGCTGCTTCAGCCTCACACAGGCCTGCTGCCTAAGGACCCTCCCAGCCGAGCAGAACCATGTTCTCCAGCTCCCTCAGGTGTCCCTGTTCACACCCCCACCGCCAGGAGCCCCCGCTGCATCCGCATGGCAGGCTGGGAGGACATCTTCACCTCTCTGTGGGCACCACGTTTAGAACCCTGCCCACATCCCTGCCCCCGTGGGATCACGTAGGAAGCCCGGCTGTTTCCTTGAGGCGTGTGGTTTAGAAAACGGCCCTCAAGGAGGACCAGAAACTCCTCCGGGACCTGGGCCGGGGGCAGGACCTCACCCCACGTCCACATGGCTGTGCCGCACCATCTAACCGCACTCTCAAGTGTTCAGTTTCCCCAGCCAGAATGGGAGGCAGCAGAGCAGAGAGAGGAAAAGCCCAGGTTTGAGACCTGGACAGGGCTCAGTTCACACCTCAGCCCCACCCTTCCCAGCTGTGCCCTCCTGGCAAGTTACTTAAACCTTCTGATCCGCACTTGCTTTATATGCCAAACAGGGATAATAGTGTCTAGCTTTCTTGATTGTTGTGAAAAGTAAATGAGACCATGTATATAAGAATCAGTCTCACGTCCCGCCTGGCACATGGTAAGCACACAGAAGACAGTAACGAATGTTAAATGTTAAATGTTAAAGCGGGGGTCACGGATGCAAACGTTTCCAGGGCCTGCGAGGTGGCAGGCCACCGGGGAGCACGCAACCAGACAGCCGCAACTGGAAAGGCCGCAGCTGCTGCCAGTGGGGCCCCAAGGAAATGCGAGGCCACCAGTGTGCAGTCTGGGAGGAAGAGCGGGACTCTCTGAGGGTGGGGCAACGGCTTCTGTTCCTGCTGTCCGTTTGCAGCGCTCAGCAAACAGTTCCAATGGACGGAAAAGCCCTCCAACCCTGTTTGCTCTGATGGAGGCAGGGGAGGCGGCTCAGGAACTTCCAGGTGATGGGGGAGGAGATGGGGCAGAGCACATGTCCTAGGACCGAGGAGACAGAAGATTCTGCTGGGATGGTCTTAGCTCAGTTAGTTAGAGCATTGTCCCCATACACCAGGGCTGTGGGTTCGATGCCGGTCAGAGCATGTACAAGAACCAACCAATGAGTGCATAAATAAAGTGGAATAACAAACAGGTGTTTCTCTCTCTTTTCTCTAAAAAATCCATTGAAATAAATAAATAAAAATTTTAAGGTTCTGCTCATAGGTGGGTAGTGGGAAAGGACAGAGGCCTGAGTCCTCACCCCGCTCAGCCCTGGCTTAGGAAAACCTGAGTGAACTGGGCACACAGCACGCTTAGGAGGCAAGGGGGCCGGGAGCACAGGGGCCTCACATCCCGGAGCTGAGTGACGCTCAGAGTGCACGCGGGGTCCAGTGTGAGTCTACCTTGCTGGCCAGAGACAGGCAGGGGCGGGGGGCCCGTTGGGGACTCTCCAGCTTGACGATGCTGATGAATCCAGGCTCCAGATTGTCATCATCGCTGGCATTGCACAGGTACAGGGGGTGGGACTGCGGAGAGAGAGAGAGAGGACAGGTTAGGGAGGCTGGGGGAATGGGAGGAAGCTGAGAGAGCCAAGCACTTCTCCACGGTTCCAGGCAGGTAGCAGGCAGGGCCCTGTGCTAGGAGCATTCTCATTAGATTGCCTCGTAGTAAGCTAGACAGGACCATTGTCATTGCCAGGGCCAAGGACACGCGGAGAAGGGGGCAGACAGGAGTGGGCGGCGTCCAAAGGGGGACCTAACTGAAGAGCCCACTGCAAAGCAGCGCAAACAACCCTCAAGCCCTGGTTTTCCGAATAGGTCAGAGGCAAAGGGCTCTTCCCCAGCCCTGCCTCTCCCCCCACCTAATCCCTCTACCTGCTCCCAGACCCCAGACTACGCCAGATCAGTACTTCCAGAATCTTGCCTTCCCTCCTTGCCCCTGCCCAGGACAATGCTGGGTGTTGCTGGTGTCACCTGCCCCCTTTGGGATGCCCCCGGCAGCTGTTGCCTCATGGAGTCCCATCTCTCCTGGAGCTTAGCTTGGGTCTTCTCACTCAGTGCTGATTATCCCCTCAATATCCCCCCCTGCCCCCTGCCTGTGACCATGTGAGATTAAGCAGGGTGCCACCAGGGAGAAGACTATTTGGGGGTGTGGCTTGGCTAAGAGTTAACCCTCGAATAGCACAATTCCTAGGGCTCCTCCTGTCCTCCAGGAAAGATGCAGTGGGATGGAGCCAGCTCAGCCATCATCTCTGAAGGCTCTGAGCTCCAGTCCAAGACCTGAGCCTCCAGCCCTCCTGGTGCCGAGCGATCAGCAAGGGGGAAGTGGGCCCCGATGGGATAACAGAGACCAAAGGATCCCCGGTCACAGGGAGGAGACAGCCCTTCCATGTGCTCTCTTCTCATTCACTGATTCAAATACCCCTTTGAATATAATTTTCCCAGAGTGCTGTGAGAACAAAGTGAGATTTATCGGGCCCTGGACCATCCTATGGTGGAAACCCAATGTATCCTGGTAAGAAAGGGGATTTCCTACTAGAGAGCTGCCCACTCTTCTCTCTCTGCTGCTGTCAAAGACTTCCAGAAAGAACCATCAGAGGAACTAGGGAACTTTGAATTTATAAAGGTGACAATGTTGATGATGGATTTAAAAGCACACACACAAAATAAAAGCACAGTCGTGTGTGTGTGTGTGTGTGTGTGTGTGTTTAATCCTCATACAAGGACATTTTTCCATTGATTTTCAGAGAATTGAAAAGAGAGGGTAAAACAGACAAATATCAATGTGAGAAAAACATATCGATTGGTTGTCTCCTGCATGTGCCCTGACCAGGGCCTGGGCGGGGGAGGAGCCTGCAATGAGGTACATGCCCTTTACCAGAATTGAACCCAAGACTCTTCAGTCCACAGGCCAGCACTCTATCCACTGAGCTAAACTGGCTAGGGCTACCCAGTCATTTTTTTTAAAGCACTTTCAGGCTGTCTCCTGTCCCTGTGCCACCTCAGTCCCTGGAACATGCTAAGCCCTCAATAAATAGGCCCTTCCTTGCTTTGAACTGTATCCTTGTGAAGGAAAATATCTGGGCAGGGATGTTGAGATTGGAGGGAGTTCCATTCATGCACCTAGAACTTAAGGACTTGTAGTCTAGTGATCACAGTTTAGTGTGGGCAAAAAAGGGTGTGCACCCCTCACTGCCAGAAAAAGGCTGGGCACAGACCGGGTGCCCTCGCCTCCGCGAAGCTGCAGCCTCTGTCTCAACAAGCTCCACTGGTCTGTCTGCGCATCTGCCAACCATGCACCACTCACTTCTTCATTCTGCCAAGAGTCCGCAGTGCCAGGCCCTGTACAAAACACTGAGGAGTCGAGAGTGAATCAGACAGGCCATTGCCTGAGAGAAGATCTGATGACTAGTGTACAAACATATTGTATTGTGGTGTTATAAGCAGGTGCATGTGACGGCCTGGGGAAGGGCACAGGGAGGGGGACTAATGACCCCATGGAGGAGGGCAGGGAGAGATCCTAGACCCTCTTCGGTGCTTCCTGGGGACTGAGCAGCTACGTGTTCGCAGGGGAGAGTGCCTTCTGGGCGGAGGAAGCAGCCTGTCCCTCGGTGCAGAGGTGCAGGCACAGGGCTGGGAGGGACTGTGGGGATTAGGTCTGGTGTGAAAGAGAAAGCAAGAGATTGGGCTGAAAAGGTCGGCAAGAGCCAGACCACAGAGCGGGGGCCACAGACTTGCATTTGACAAGCATCCCCCTACTGATAGTCTGGTGTGGTTAAGGAGTCCAAAGTCTACTGCTCGAACAGAACAGAAGATGTGAGAGGCCTTCCTTCAGGAACAAGTTGCAGCCACAAACGTCTGCTGCTTGGCTTGGCCCGTCCCCTCCTCCCCAACCCCATCATGCTACCGATAGTCCATCTTTCTTGAGATAACGCCAAGATGTCTCTCACGGACTGGGGTCAATTGGGAGAGGGGAGAAAGTCACTTCGGAGAAAAGCAGTTTAGAGAAGGATTTTCAAATATTTAACCACCTTTCTGCCCTCACCCCATACCTCCATAGTGATATAGTGAAGGATGTCTCTGAGGAGATGGAGGGAAAACACTTGGTGTCAGAGTCACCAGACTGCCCAGGTCTTGAACTGAACGATGACTACGGAAGAGGGAAGGGGAGAAAATGAACCTGTAGTAAATGCCTCTGGTGGGCCGGGCCTTTAGATGCTATCTCACTGTGAGGTAGGTATGATTATCCCCTTTATAGAGAAAGGAGCTCGAGGCTCAAAGTTAAGATTAGAACCCAGCTCTGTCTGACTCCATCCCCTGGAGTCACGTAACCTCCAAATGAACCACATAGTCAATCCTCTATTGTTGATGATGATGTTGATGTGAGTTTATATTTATTGAATGAGGCAGAAACTATTATTGTCTCCATTTTAAGGATGATAAAACAGAGGCAATAAGAGGTTAAGTAACATGCAGCTAAAATCAGAAGAAATGAAAAAAAAGTGTAATATAAGGTTGAAAAAACACATACACACAATTGAGAACAATTTCCATTGGATTTTGACAACTTGATATTTTCCCTCAACTCATGACTAAGAAATTTTACTTTTCTAATTCCACATTCCTAAAGCATAAGGGCCCAAACACGAGTCCCTGATAGACTAGTGGTGTCTTCCAGGATTCTGTCCTAGATCCTCTTCTCTCTTCCCTCTCCGTGGTGTCCCTGGGTGACCCCAGACAATCCCATGGCCATGTGGTAGTCTTCCACACAGAGGCTGTTAATTACAGGTGTGCAGCCCAGACCTCTCTTGAGTTCTAGACCCACATGCCCAATAGGCAGAGCCTAGACGTTTCTGCCTGAAGCCTCAAATGTAGCATGTTCAAAACGGAACTAATCCTTTTGTCCCTCGAAACCGCTCCTCAGGGATTGGAATGACTGCCTTCAGATGTCCCCATCTCCTCTTCTTTGCAGCCCCTACCCCCACACTACCAATGTGCAATGACCAAAAAATTATAACAGTTCCGTCTCCTAGATATTTCTCTTATCTGTCCTCTTTCCCAGATTCTTACCCTGGTTACCCTAAAACAGGTCACCATCCCTGCTCTTCCAATTCACTGAAATAATCTTTTAACTGGGGTCACCTCACCCGACTTAGTTCTCTGTACTGATGCCAAAGTGATAAAAATAAATAAATAAATAAATAAAAATGCTAACTTGAGCATGTCACTCTTCCACTATTAGCTCTTAAAGGCTCCTTATAGCTCTTGGAGTAAAGTCTGTGCTTTTAACCGTAGCTTAAAAGGCTCTGTCCACTCTGGGCGTGGGGGCGGCCCTCCATGGCCTGCCTGGAGGCTTACCATACCTTCCCACACCTCCTTCCTCCCTTGCAGCCGAGCTCCAGAAATAACTGTTTCTGGCATTTGTTGCTCTGTCAGAAGAGGTTAGGGGCCTCTCCTCTGGCCCACCTCAGCACCCGTGTTTCCCATCATAGACTTTCCCCATGGTAATTCAGCTGTCTGCTATGTCCCTCTCTCCCCCAGGCTATGACTGGTACACACTCACACACACACACACTTGACTCTTTTACAATGAGAGTTCTTCAAGTTTGGTACCTGCTTCCTGGTTTCTTCTATTAAACATTGAAGTCTACACCCAGATTAGTGATAGCTAACTTTAAAAACAACACAATGCACACCAAAATCCTGGTCATGGTGGTTTTGGGAGAGGAACCGGACCGGAGATGGTGAAAAAAGGCTCCCGTGTCTTGCAGCGAATACTTCAATCATAGGATAATGTATTAAGATACTGGGTTTTGGTGGGGTTTTTGTTTGTTTGTTTTTTTTTTTGCTGTTGTGGAATAAAAAAGAATGAGAACTACAATATTTACATTTACTCTGTGTCTTTTTCCTCTTCCCATTCTAAGAAGATAGCCTCACCTTCTATTTGCCTGCCTCAGGCACATTTGCCTAAAGCAAATGTTGCTCAAGACTTACCTTCCTGGCTTTCGCAAAAGATTGAATTCATTAAGGAACCGTGAGTATCCTGAAGGCAGAAAGGAGTGGGGGTGGGGTGGGGGCAAAGGGTTAGAGTCCCTGGAATCTGAGGGATTGGGGGGGGGGGATGGATCCTGAGGAAGAGCCCCAAGTTGTGGGAATCTGTAGCCTGTGCCCCAAAAGGGGTAGACCTGGGAGGCTGGACCCTGGCAGGAAAAAGATGGGCTTACATGGAATTCAAGAGAATGCTTGTGCTTGTGCCCTGGGCATATTTGTGTGACCAGCATGGACAAATATCAGAGGGGTCCCTCAGATATTTTGGCTTGGGCTACTCTATGTGAGAAAGCGCTCACAGAAACAAATATCTCCACCTACTTCAATGAACAGGGCCTTGGAGTCAGGTTTACTTTGATAAAAATAAAATGCCGTATTTCTTGTATAGTCATACTGTGGCCTGAAAAACCACACTCACTACACTTCTGTATGGCTTGATTCTTTTACAATGAGAGTTCTTCAAGTTTTTTCAAATTAAA